AAAAAATAGTGTGTTGACACATCCCTCTCAATGAAATCCTACTAGACTGTGTTATACCTAGGATACAGACCATATTATATAATATATGGTCCATTATATTTTTCTTTCCTTTTATCTTACGGCAATTGGCAATTATCAAAACTCTTATTGTACGAAGTGTCACATCTTATTTTGATTTCAAACTCGATATGATATTTATATTGAAATTTTAGCTAGTTGTATTTGTATAACATCAAGCCTATTAAAAGAGAAAATACTCTTATTAAAGGGATTACCCATCATCTTAGTATTACACTCGTCCAAACACACTTAATTTTAGAATTTTGATAGAATTCGATGCGTTAGTGTTGATACATCACATCCAAAATTATGTCATTATCAAATAATGCAGTTTGGGTTTTAATTTTCCTCTTTGAGGAAGACAGAGCACTATAACAAAATCAGATATTATTCACTTCTTCTATCAATTGATAATAACTGGTTAAAGTTTGTTTATTTTACACACTTTTTCTTTTTATTTTTTGGTAAAAAGTAACACAGATTTATCATTTTCTTCTTTCACTCTTAAATCTGTATGATTTCAATAGGGATATTTGCTACTGAGAGTCATTATTATAAATGTAGTATGAATATATACTATTTTGACACTATTCTTTTACTATTTTTATAAATATAATTTGAATTTTAAAAAAGTGATGAGTTTATATAATAGCCCTAAATGGTGGATCCACACTGCTTTTTTAAAATGTGGGAAACAAAAGCTGACATGAGTTCTTGACTTTGGTTGACATTTGAAAGAAAAATAAAGAGGTGAAAAGGAAAATAAAATAAAATTGGGCCATGGTTTATAAAAGAAAAAAAGGCGAATAATCCTTCTTTAATTTTTTTTGCTTCATGATTACACTTTTTATGTATGAGATTCCCTTAGGTATAGGTATACATGAGTGCATCAAATTTAATTGAGTTTATGTTGTATACCATCAATTCAAATGATGTTTATTTACTTACGTCTTAAAATGTGTTGCATACTTTTTAACTTTATTTTCGATATTTGATTATCAAGAGTCCGGAGCCAAAGGGCAAAAAGAATTGTCAAAAATTTCAAAAGGGCACATCAAAATTTTTTTAAAATTAAAAGGGCAAAATCTCTCCTGACGAAGCGATTTCCCTCTGACACACCTGCAGCAATTTTGTAAAAAAATAATAATAATAAAAAAATAAAAAATAAAAAAAAATAAAAAAAAAATAAATATATATATATATATATATATATATATATATATATATATATATATATATATATTATATTAGGGCAGCAATTTTGTAAAAAAAATTTCATTAAAAATCGCGATTTTGTCATTGTGTTAGAGGGAAATCGCTTTGTCAGGACCGATTTTTCCCTTTTGATTTAAAAAAAATTAGATATACCCTTTTGAAATTTTTAACAATTTTTTTTGCCCTTTTGGCTCTGGACTCTGATTATCAATCCTATATTTTTTCAATAGCATATAAACTTTGAATCATTTTACTATAGTACTCCCTCCGTCCCTTTTTAGTTGTCCACTTTAGAAATGACACACAGATTAAGGCAACAATGATTAGCACAGTGAAGTTACAATTTTACCCTTATGACAACTTTTCACTTCAAAATTACAACCACTTATTTGAATTCAAGTGAAATAAATTGGAGGGAAACAACATACACTTTTACAATTTTCAAGAAGTGTAAATAAGGGTATAATAGGAAAAAATTTGTTGTCCTTTCTTGATTTGTCAAAATGGACAACTAAATAGAGACAACTAAAAAAGGAAATATGGACAAGTAAATAGGGACGGAGGGAGTATATGAGATTTTTTTACACTTCATTGAACATTTCAATTAACACCAAAGTATATCCTACTGTACACCTCAACTATAACCAAATATATCTATTTAACACAAAAAAAAATAGCTGTAACTCCATAAAAGATGATTTTTCTGAGATAGGGGCATTTATTAAGAAAAGTGTTGTAGGTTGTTAATGTGAGGCACTAATGAATGAATGATGAATTGGTCACAAAGTTCAAGGTTGTGTCAGGCCCATGATAATTGATAGGTCCATCAAATAATGGGCCCCCATTATCACAAACAACACAAAACCCTATATTCTCTACAGAGAATGTCTACCATTTTGCTTATTCTTCTTTCATACACTTCTTTTTTCTCGATTCTTTCGTAAATCGTTTCTCTATCGAAAAAAAATTGTGTATGTTCTACCTTTCTTTCATATTTTATTTATGAGATTTCAGTGAATATATACTATTATTTATATTCTAATTATGATCTTATTTCTTTGATTTTTTTAACCACTATCTTTGAATCTTACTTTGCTTCAATCTAGTAATTATAGGTTTAATCAATGATTTTAATCCTACCAGTGGTACCTCGACAAGTCTTCATTTGTTTCTCAATTCAGACCAAACAAGAATATATATTCTCATTGTTCCTATTTACCGTATACGTTTTTATTTTTAATTTATTTCAAAAATAATATTTTTAATAATAAAAAATAATTTAATTTTGAATTACTTATCTACTAAACTAATAATGACACAAAAGTTATTTTATTTTAAAGAAAAAAACTTATTTTTTAAGATTTTATATCTAATTAGAGGGAGTATCACATAAATTGAGACGGATGGAAAATAATATATATGGGACGGTTTTGCTTTTCGAGGCGTCAAATGTCGGTTATAATGTAGGCAAAAAGAGAGGGACTGGGCTCAGTAAAAACTGACAATTGACACTGACTTTGTTTACTTTTTTTTATTGGGCTTGGGGCCCACAAGTAATTAGTTGGGGGTCCACTAATTGAGATGATGATGTTTGTAGTGGGGCTAATTATGGTCTTTGCAGGCTTATGATGGGATCACACACACATCATCACTTACATCCTCTATTTCTTTTTGTCTTGGTTCATCGTGGACTCGATGAATAAAACATCTCGTGTTAGCATAGTACGAAGAAGGGTCATATTTCAATAGATGTTATGTAGATATCTATTATAATACAAGTATTAGTTATTAATTTTAAAGCTTGAATTTGTGATTTAATTTTATGTTGCACCAAGACTGTATTCTTTTTTGTTATTGGATTCCGACCTTTCGGGGGATATAAGGATCGTTATGAATGAAAAGATTCATTAGATAATGAGTTATTGATTCTAAGTCATTTATGTTGATTGAATTCTGATGAAACAGAATCAACAATGTCGAGGCAAGAACACCTTCATTCCTACATAAAATAAGGAATGTACAAATGCACAATGGATCGTGTCCTTCAAGTGGCACATTACGTTCTACCACATCATTTCAAACGAAGTTTTACCATAACATTCCGAACTTGGAAAGTTTTTGACCATTCTGTTGCTGAACATCATCCTATCCGGTGTCCATTTATAAGCAATATTGCAAGTATAACCCAATACATGTTGAATTCCTTTCGAACGAAATAGGAAGCCCATCTTATAAGCACTACTATTGGGCTTGGTATTGGGCTTTGTTTTTTAACCATTATATGAGCCAGCCCATTTGTAAGCACCACAATTTGCTAGCATATGCTATTTGAACAACTATTACGAGTTCATTTGCTCATTAATAAATATGTATTTTACAAGTTTAAATTAATATTTGATACAACGTTCTATAGCTTGATTTCATATGAAATAATTAATCCAATTATATATGAAGCACAATAACTTAAATATTTTTGTTTAATAGTCAATTAGAAACAATAGAATATTCATACTTGACTTTAAATAAGGTCACAAAGTATGTAGTTTCCGACTTGCCAACTAATTAATTGATCTTTTCCTCACATAATAATTAATTGACCCACCACCATTGTTGTACCAAATCAAATTTAAGGGTGGTTTAAAGAACCTTTAGTTTTTAAATTACTAAAATAAAATATAGCTCAAAGTTATTGACTTAGTTAAATAATGTCCTTTTCATTTTGTGAAAATTATTTAAAGTTAAGTCTAGAAGTAGAAAGTGGTCCATTTTCTGGTTTGGCGGTGATATTAAGTAAGTGTATTAACTCAAATAGAAATTAAATAAGTCTATTTGAGTTAAACAAGTTTTTGTTCTTTTGGTTTGTAATATTCTCAAAATCCACATGTTTTTTTAATCTTTTGAGTGGTATTGGCAAAAAAAAAAACGGTTTACATGATTTGAACATAAAACAAATAAAGAACGCGATCGGCTAATAAAATGCCTTTGTTTATAATTAGAAATATGAAATTCATATCTAAGAAAATTCATCTTTTAAAATACTTTATTCTTCAAACTTTAGATCCTATAGAAATATTTTAAATTTAAAACGAATCAGTCGACCTAGGTTAATTATCAACGAATTCCGTGAATTTTGAAAACATTTAAAGGATAAGTAATTAACATTTTTAACTAGAAGTTTAACAAGAGAGTAAACCAGCTAATTTAGATCCAAACTCACCATACTGCAGTTCTAACACTATCCTTCAACCATTTTTTGGGTATACTTTCTTTAATATTTTTCGATAAAGTAATATTTTTTCTTAATTACAAAACAAATTATTTAGGCAAGAGAAAAAATAAATAAATCAAGAGTCAATAGTAAACACTTTTTTCACAGAGTTTAATACTTCATTCTATTATCCTATTTAGCTATTTAAAGATATCAACTTTTTGAGTTTCATATTAACTATCACTCTTTTTATATTAAATTACATCTTATTATGAGTTGGTCTACCTACATTTAATGACGGTTGATAATAAATATTTAACATCAAAATATATTTTTAATATAAAAAAAGTCATCGCTTAGGTAGATAAAAGAATAATATATAATTGATATATGAAACTCATGGTATTAATAATTTAAATATATTTTTCATTATTTAACTCTAAAATCAAATAATACTTCATGTGTCACTAAATAAATATTGATTTAGCAAAACAAACATTCGTAAAAATTCAAGACATCCTACCGACCAAACCCACCGGCTATAGGCTCGTCGTTTCATATTCCTTTGATAAAAAATATACTTTGAACTCTATTTTCCAATTGCCATTATTTTTCATCTTCAAATCAAATTGGGCGACGAAAGCTCCATATTATTATCTTCCTATACATTGGATCTCACTTTCATTGAATTTTGAAGAATTTATTGTATGGCAAGTTATTATGTAACGGCGGTTCCGCCAACGGATCTGAATCGGAATACTGAGTGGTTCACGTATCCCGGTGTATGGACGACCTACATCCTAATTCTATTCTTCTCATGGCTCGTTGTTCTCTCTGTATTTGGTTGCTCTCCTGGCATGGCTTGGACCATCGTCCATCTTTCTCATTTTCTCGTATGATTCTAATTTCCTTTAATTCGGTTGGAATTGAGTAGTTCTTTGCAGTTAAATGATGATGGGTTGCTTTAAAGTAGTCATATTTTGATAAATTTTAATCAAGTTTAGTTTTTTTTGTTTAAATGGTTCTGATTAGAGGAATAACAGTTTAAATGTTTGGCTGATTGATATTCTTATGATTACGTGTCTAGTTTGTTTAGTGTTTTCTGGGTTTTTGGTTCTGTGGAATTTGGAGACTTATAGTGCAATTTGGAATTGATTTGAGCTAGGTTCAGCTTTGGGTCATTGATCATTTGTTTATGTTCAATTTGGAAGTGAGAGATTCTGGTGGAAGTAGCTGGAGAAGTGGTGAATTGAAGTTCTTTTAGTATTAGTCTTGATTCCTAGATATAGTGGAAAATAATACAGCTGAGCTTTACTTTTTGTGATTGATGCGTTGTTGATTGATTGATTTAAGTCTTAGATAGTTGGACATGCCAAGTGTATCGAAAGTTATGGCCTTTTTGGTGTCTAGTATATTTGGTTTTTCCATTTCAATCGACTTCACTAGACATTATTGCTGTAGTCTCATATTGGTTGAGGGTATGGAGTTCATGGACTGTATTCTCTTTTAATGTTGGGGAATTCTCACCACTTGAACTCCCTTTTAGGATTGAGTTAGCCCATTGTTCCTATATTGGTCGACATCTTGCGTTATAGTGTCTTTATATTGGTTTCGAGAACTTTCACCACTTGAACTAGTTTTTGGAGTTGAGTTAGGTTCAAGGCCATTTTCATGACAATTATGATGTGTGCTGGATGTTCCTTGTTATTTCGTTATTTGATCACTATTGTACAGAGAAACGAGTACATATGAAACTTGGGAGATTTTTTTTAGATGTGGATGATTAATAATTCTATTAAGATTGATAATTTGAAAGCTTAATTATCTCTATTACCTTTTTTGCGTCTTTTAACTCATTCTTGCTATGCTTTTCCCGTCTCATGTGTTTATTAGCAATTAACTATTATTGTTTACCTATGTTGTATGCCCTGAAAAATGTCTGTATGCATAATTCTTAGGCATATCGAACAGTCGAAGTCTAGTTGATGAGCTTTACCTTCATCTCTTTGGTACCAATTTTTTTGTTTTGTGTTTTTTTCTTCTGTCCTTTATGTTATAGCATGGGAGGAAACCTTGTTATATAGCTACTCTGGATTTTATCTCTTTGTGAAAGACTCTGCCTTCTCTATTCATATGTATTTCTTATATCACTAATTTCCACTGGAAGAAGGGAGCACAATTGTACATACTCCAAATTTTAGGTGTCTTTACAAACGCCTTTGTATTGTCTATTTTATCTTCAGGTCACATATCAATGTTTTCACTGGAAGAAGGGAACACCATTTGCTGATGACCAAGGTATCTACAATAGGTTGACTTGGTGGGAGCAGATAGATAGTGGGAAGCAGCTTACACGCAATAGGAAGTTTCTAACAGTTGTCCCTGTGGTGCTGTAAGTAGTCAATTTTCAGCAAGTTAATTGCTATTTACATTTTTAATGCTATGAACAAATTTCCTGCTTTCAAGTGTAGTTGATGTGTATATGATCTCACCAACTGGCTTGAAAAAGCTTCTAAATTTCACCGTGATGCACTTTACAACAGAGGTTCTGATCATGGTAGAGTATATATATTAGAGGGCGTAATGCTCTTAAGCTATGATTTTGTAGGCTTGATTAACTAAACTTCCAATGGTTCATTTTATACGACACTATTCTTATTTGGGAAGTTAACAATTACCGGTCCAAGAAGTCAGAAAATAGATGTAGTAGCCAGCTAGACAAAAAATATCATGGAATACTCACAAATCGATGTTATTAGCATTACGTTTATGCATAACTTCCATGGTTAATGATATTAGTCCAAGTGTTAATTACACAAGCTTGCTTTCTGTATCTTCTTGATGTCATTTAATGAAACTCCCTTACTAAATCAAAAAAAGAAGAACCTAGTTTGTGGAAATTGTCATTGCACTAGCATAACTAAGCTTTGACTTTTAGGAGGTCTAGAAACCAAGGGGTTGGGTTTTTATTAAGAATAAAAAATATATATGATATAATTCTTACATAACAGGCTGTAATGGAAGCTTATTCTTAATAGCTTCTTCAACAAAGCATCACCACAACCTGAGCAAATTGATCAAATCTGTTACTACTAAAAAAACTGATGATGGAGGAATCAGTGTTGAAGATGTTACCTCATATAAATGGATAGGGTGTTGGACAAAGAGAGGGTAGCTCTAGAGGAAAGCACCTCTACCTCAACCTTAGGTTGTAGGTTCATGTCACCACTCAACATGTTAACATATCAAAAGAAAAAAGAAAAGAGTTGATAATGTGTCTGATTAAGTGTCATATTTGGCTATGTCAAAAAAAAAGTGTCATATTTGGTTTTTCTTTCGACTCTTTTAGGGTAAAAAGAATGGTTTCACAGTCTCCTAGTGAATGGCATGACAAAGGAGGAATTAACACATAGAATATGATGACTGAAATGGAGGTGAAGGCCAAATCGTATAAAATGGTTGTGGCACCAACAATATTACATGAGGGTGAATGTTAGCCAAGATGGATGTTTCAAGTCGTTGAAATATCTGTTTGAATTAATGTGAGTTCAGGTAAAATTAAAAATAGAATCATACGTTTTGTATGAGTGATGCCAATTAGTTGGAATTGAGGTTAATTGTTGTCAAAGAGTCAATGTCCATGTAGGGGAAGTGTAAAATTTAGAAATCTCTAGTTCTGGAGAACCCTTAATTTACATCATTAGAGACGAATGGATATTAAGTGTTTCATTAGCCAACTCTGGCTAGTTTTAGATTGATGCATAGTTGATTTATATACCCTAATCATATTATAGTTTAGTAGAAAGTTGGTTCCGTTTAACTTCAAGACCTACACATGACATGGTAAACCCAAACTCTGATACTTTCAGAGAAAGTGTTAGGCTGTTAGCATATTATGATTGCAGCAGGACTGCAGAAGGTATCTAGATATGCCATGGTTGAATGATTGTGCCAGGTTTCACAAGTAATTATTGAGGATGCACAGCTATTAAGCCACTAATGAACTTATCTCTAAGGTGAATATACAACTGGTTTGAGTTCCTAACTAATGCTTATAACATCTGATTTGTTGAGAACCCAAATGCTCCACGAGAAAAAAGACAGTTTCCCTCTGAAAGCAATAAGCCAAATTTTCATTTGATGAAAGTTAATGTTCGATGGACTTATGACACACAAGAAAAAAAGAAATGACTGAACCTTTGATGACACAAAAATTATGATTTGTTTTATTACTGTTGGTAGTAGCTATCACAAAGGTTTTAGAAGTTAGTTAATTATACCATTGACCCTGGAAAAATTAGCTAAATTTGTGGAATTGAAGGAGGAAACTCATAGTTATGTTTGTCTAAATTCCTAATCTTTGCTCTGTGAGAAAGTTGTCTCTGGGGTAACAGGATCGAGTTGGTCTGGAATGTGGTTCTCCTCATAAGGCTTGAGTTTTTGAATGTCTAAAAAGAAAAAAGAGGGCCACATAATAAATCTTTTGAAAGCATTACACATTAATTTCCACCTACTAAAAGCGCACATTTTGCAGAGATGACTAGTTCTTTTTCAATATTCAAGGGGAAAAAATACAGATTTTTCTTGTAGTATTTTGTCAGTGGAGCAAGTTTCATAAGGTAGTTGAGTTGTATACAAGATAGTTCTCATAGAGAGTTCAATTCTTGAAATAAAAATGGTAAAGAAAATGATGAAAGAGCATTCGACGAAATGCCCACCTTTTTGCTCGTATAAGTAGTAAAATGATGAATCAGCACTTAAGCATCTTGATATTATTGTCAGTCTTTTATTTATGCTATGGGATTATGCACACAGCCTTGTTTGCATTGCTGCATAGTTTTTTTTTAATAAAAATTTCTACATTTTGAAAATTTGTCTTGGATAATGAAGTGCAATATGAACTGTCAAATTCATTATTCATGCATATAAATGTTCTGAGACTAATATGTTGTAGACAAAGCATGTTATATTTGCGTTTTGATTTCTTCAACATGTCGGTTAAGTGGCTGCTCTATGTATCTTTCTTTAACATAATTTCTGGCTGTGCTTTGGGAGATGGGGTTTCTTACCGAGTCATTTAAGAAATTTTCTTTAGGGGTTCATCAGAATAAGCTTCACAGGATTTGATGGGAAGGGAGTAGGAGGGAGGAAGTTTGTACACATTTGGCTTGGTTTGAGCTAGTGGGTTCTTTCTTTGGGGTGGAGGGGTTGGGGTGTTGTGGTTGGCATGTTTATTGCTTCCCTATCTGAAATATGTATATCGAAAATAATTTTGCTGCATTTGCTTATTCATTTCATCCTTTTTTTTAATCAGTGATGAAACTTTCTCTTCTCCCCTCGTTTTACTTTCCTAGATATTTTGAAGTATTTTCTAGGCTCTTAATGAGGTGAATGTAAGGCATACGGTTTGGTAGCTAATCAAACAATACTGGGTCTTATTAATGATACACTAGCTTATGCACTGTCACTTAAAAAAGAAATTATTGAAGGCTAGCTAAGGCTGAAGCTCAGCAATGGTGTTCTCATTTATTGTACCAAGAACCAACTACTACTGCAACTTTTGTATTAATGATGTTGTAGGACGTTGATTTGTTTGCCATTCACCTTGCCTGTGGCACCATCTACCCGACGATCCTCTTTTTTCTTCCCCTCTATAGAAAACGATTCTTTATTTTACTATACCTCTTTATTATCCCCTTTTCAGTGGTGTTCTCATACTTGTTTCTTTTCGCAGCTACTTGATAGCCTCCCATACAACTGATTATCAACACCCCATGCTGTTCTTCAACACAATCGCAGTTTTTGTACTGGTCGTTGCCAAATTTCCCAATATGCACAAGGTTCGTATTTTCGGGATAAATGCAGATCAATGAGCTTGGGTTCAACTGAATACATACCACAGAAAGAAGGGAAAAAAAGTACTAATTGATTTGCTTTTAAGCATCATGTGTAAAACTGGGATGTCCCTGTACAGATGCAAGAACTGGAAAGGGTATATCATTATTTTGTAAAAGAAATCAACATGTTCTCTCTTTGTGGATATTTTTTTCTTGTAAAAACTGTTTGTATGAGAATGCTGGAATATCGATTGAGTTATGATATTTTTCGTGTTGCAACTCAATATTCTTGAATCGTATCGATCATGAGCTTTGATAATATTTGAAGAAATGACCTTAAATCGAAGTGTACTGATCTCTAATCGAACTATTGGTTTCGGGTGAAGATTATAAGCTTCAATAGGCATAAATCTGTCACCCTCGACTTATGTATTATAATTCTCAAAATGTCATTTTCAAAATTTTACTTCTAACTTTCTCTCTATTCTATTTTCGTCATTCGTCTTTTCCAGAATCCAAAAAAGGACTAACAGAAAATGTTTTAATTCATGAAAAAAAGTGAAAAGTTTAGATGAAAAAGGCAGCATTTCTGTTAACATAACATAAATTTCATGAGATAAAAAAGATTCATAAATGTTGCAAAAACTTTTTGTTGTTTTTATTATCCAACTTCCACAAGGGGAAATAAAGGGAAACCTCCTAAAATAGCCAGAAAGAAAACGACCCACACATTAAAGGAAAAAATTAGCCATTTAAGGCTTTTATTCTCCACTAGTAAAAATAATTAACAAATCTTCAGAAAAGCATACTGTAAAATAATTTAAATATATAAAAATTTGCAGACTTTTTTTTTCATTCATTGTATTGTTTTTGTCTTTTAACCATTTAATATTTGATTCAATACTAAGCGGCAAGCGCGAGTCATCACCTCACATTATTGACTATGTGAGTCGATTGAAGCTTATCATTTAGAGTAAGGAGAAATTAAAATTGTTTGAATCACGGTAACATAGATGTTTTTATTGTTCGTAGACATCCGATGAAGTCAATTGATGTCGAATGAATCTTGAGTCTAAGTCTAACTCAACCTCAGAAGATAACTTATAAAGAAAAGATTGCCTAAACTCATATGAAGAGAAGTCGAAGGGCCCATATCTCTTAGCCGATGTGGGAGACTCAACAATTGGAGCTAGTCGTAACAAAATTTCTGTAAATGAACCTGAGAGAGAATTATTATTAAAACTTGTAATGATCCGTGAAAATTTATATGATCATCTGAAAACTCTTCTTATCCTTAAAAATGATCACGAGAAATTCGTATAGTTGATTTGAAGTTGTTTCAGATTGAACTATAGTTATTATAACATGATTAATCATCATCAAAAGATTGGAAATAGAGTGATTTTTTTGCAAAAGATTTATATATTCATAAAAAAAATATATTAATTGAAAAATGTAGTGAAGTGGGAGTGATTATTCCTTTGCACGATTATCGAGGGGAATGTTTGTGGATCCCACATTATGACCAAAGAAAATTAAAGATTGTCAGATCTTTTTCCTATGTTTTTTATAATAATAATAAAAGAACATGCGCATTGGCTACAATTATCATTTGGCCAGCTTTTTCTTCATTATATAGAGTGATCAACAAGGGAGAGGGCAAAAAGGGAGGGGGGGGGGGGGGGTACTAAGTACATATTTTGTAAAAGAATTTTTTTATAAATATACGTGATTTAAATCAAAATTACTGAATTTTTCTAAAAAAGTAAAGGAGTATGTGTTTTAACATTTTTCTACATTGTAGAGCAAAAAATGTTTTTTCCTAGTTCAAAAAATAGAGAAAAAGTTTTGCCTCCAAAGCCAATGGTAATAATACATTATAAATAGGGATTGTTGAGGGTGAACCAGAAAAAAGATTAGGTTAGGTCGAATCTAAGTGATGTATGTATGTATGTTAGAAATTTAAATCGCATCATATAAAATATAATATTTAAATAAATATGATAGAAAAATCATTTCACTTCTCATTAAATCTAAATCTTGATTAAGATTAAAGAATCCTATTTTGATAATATGTTATGTGTCGAAAATCTATCAACAACAATCTCTCTATTCTATTTTTTAGAGTGAAATGTATTATTGTTATTTAATCAAAAGCATATACATTATTATAATAATTGTCCAAAATCCTTGTCCCTAGGAGATGCTCAAGGCTTTTAAGTCATTTACAGTCATTTGAAGTGAATCAAAACCTGACAACCTTAAAAGCCATCTTGAGAAATGTGTAAAAATAAAAATAGAGATAAAACTGTACAATATAAATTTTAAAAAATAAAATTATTAGCAATTTGTTATATTCATAAATTAAGCTGCAAAAATGTACTTGCATAAATAGCTCAAATTAATTAATTAAGTAGCAAGTCTCTCAAAGCTCAATATTACAAACTTAAAAATCATACAATATAATACATTTATTTTTTTCTAATAATATGACATAGAAAAATTAACACTAGTAGAATATTGTGCCCTCCAAAAAATTTGGGCTAGATTTCTTCTTCCACAATATTTTCTTCACAATATCCCATAAGCTTCACATAATTACTTCCCACCAACTAACATAATTCAAAGTAAATTAATGACAAATTACAACACTAAAAAATGAAAAAAAAAAAAGATTTAGGAGAAATGAGAATTACTTTTATCCTATTGAAGTTAGTTTTTGAAGAAATTAAAATCCAAACAAACCCCCCCACCAATAAAGTACACTACAAGAAAATCACAAAAACAAACAAACATAATCAAGATTAATTATAGTCTAGTGATATCAGTGACAGTCTATGTCACGTAATAAGCATATTCGATTCTCACTATACCCTTCTCACTTTCCTAATCCCCCAGTATGATCGTAATTATTATTATTATTTTTTTAAAAAAAAAAACCTTAACTAATAAACTATATAATATAAGGTTTTTTTTTTGTTTGTTACCAAGATCCTCCTCCTCCTCCTAGCATCCCATTCCAATATCCATTAGTAGATTGATCTCCAAGACTAGGCTCATTAGCACCATCACTTGTGTTATTCGAAACTTGCTTTAAACCTACAAAAGGAAACAAAAACCTTCCATTTGCATTTGTCTCTTGAAGATTATTGTTATTTCCATAGCTACTATGATGAACATTATTTCCAAGTCCATGATCCAATGAGAAATTTAGAGATGGCATTAATGAAAATCCAGATGAGTTGTATACTGAATTTGGCATTGTCATATTGAACGAATTATTATTCAACCCTCTCGAAGTGATCCCATTAATCAACTCCATGGCGGAAAGTTGAGATGGAGAAGAAGCTGAAGAAGAAGAAGATGGAGGAGGAGGAGGCAATGTTGAAATATTCTGACTATTGTTGTCCTTGTTACTCCCATCATAATTTGGTACCTGTTCAACATATAACATAACATAACATGAAAAATCTGTAACGTTACTTGTACACTAACATATATAAACGTACCATAGAGACTCTACGATGAACGTAACTTGAATAGTCGAGTAGTAACTTTTTTTTTTTTAAAAAAAAAGTTGTAACTTTACTAAAACTCGGTGTTGTGTTAACTTGTATATACTAACACATATAAACATACCATAATTAAAGACTCTACGATGTACAAAATTAATAGAGAAGTATACTCCTATTAATTTTGACCAAATAATTTTGAAAAAAAAATCTCAAATACCTGAATTAGCTCAGTAATAGTCTTGAAATCAGATGAAAATCCCAAATTGAGATCTTGGCTTCCTTCATGGATAATCTTACTAGGGCTTTGATCATGATGATGTTGAGGTATAGAAGTATCAGGTCGATTTCCAAAATGCCTTTCTGGATATTCCTCGATATTATTGTCTCGATGTGGTGGAGGAGCAACCAAATTATCAGGAAGTTTTTTATTATTTACTATAACATGATTATTATTTGAATTATAAGGAGAAGAAGATTTCTTATTTTTTCTTGAACCACCACCAACAGGAATGTTCCTAAGAGATCCACCTTCAGTCCAATATCTTCTACAAGTCTTGCAAAAATACCTTGGTTGAGAAAGACTATAGTTGTTATAATAACAAAACTTTGTGTTTGTTGAATTGCATCTTGGACAATTCACAACTTGGTCTTTTTGTGGTCTAACTAATTTCCTTTCAACACAATTAGGTTTTGATGAACCATTTGTGTTTCCTATTATATCTTCCATTGGCTTCACCACTATCTCCTATAACAACAAAAGGCAAGTTACACATCTGACTAATCGATCAACTAAAAATAATTACATTCACTAGTTTATAAACATATAGAAACATACACTATTTTTTTAATCTATATTATGTAAAATCATACATTAATACACAATAAATATATATTTCCTGGCTAATATTTTGATGAACGGCTATTTATGCCAATTTTCCAACAAAAGAGAAAAGAAAATTAAAGCAATAGACAACATTAAATTTTGATCGATCTATAATTTCAAAAGTGTTACGCTTTAGTTTAAATCTTAGATCTGCCTCTAAATTTTACTATCTATATATCAAGAACAACTACTACAATAGCTAGTAATAAACACCATAAAGATTTTTGGATGAGTGCTTTGTACTTTATACTTGTAACTATAATAACAAAAGAAATTGATCTTTTTCACTTTCTCAAAAAAAAAAATTATAATCACATACATTGAACAAAAAACAAAAAAAAAGTGTAGAAACATAAGAGTGCTACATATTATATGATGAAAATCAAATAACTAATGGAAATTAAAGAAAAAGTAGGGAAATCATCATCTTTCTCAAAAGTAATGCAAATTTCTAGCTACAAGATTTAAAACTATAATCCAAGAAATTATAACTAAAAAAAGAATTATGTGTTGTAATACCTGAGGCCATTGAGCAGTATCCATGGATGATGATGAAGAAGTAGAAATTAAAGAAGAAGCAAAAGGAAAAAATTGTGTTTTTTTTTTTTTGGAGTGAAAAGGGAAAATGAGCAGCTTTATGAGCAAGTGGTTTTAAAAGAAGAAAAAAAGGAATGTTTGAGAGGGTTTGTGGATGCAGTATTGTGTTGCTTTATGTTTGTGTGGGAAAAGAGAGAGAATAAATGTTATTATTTTTATTGACGTAGATCGTAATGAGATGATTGAGATTTCTTCACTTTTAATCAGATGAGATGTATCATGTAGTTTTTGGCTTTTGACATTTTATCTTATGTTGTTTAGTATGTTTAGGTGGTCGCACTTTATTGTTGATGTTATGAATATTTTATATATATATATATATATATATATATATATATATATGTTTCACACTATTTTTTTTTTTAGTTGTCATGTTTTTTCTCTACTTTTATTTTCATTTCATTACTACTTTAATATACTTTTCAAAAACAGTTTATCTATCTCTAAGAGATAGAAATAAGGTGTTGCGTATATTTTATCCTTTTCCGACTCTATTTATGGGATTTCATTGGATATGTATTATTGAATTGAAAGCATTGCATTAAAAAATGAGTCTTGCTGCACAAAACTGAATTTGTCACATTCTTATGAAAATATCGGAGATCGGATGAGAAATATAAAACTATTTTTTTCTTTTAACTTATTGACTATTTTATAGTAATATATAGTATAGTATTTTCTTAATAATTTGTTAGTGGAAGAATATATGTCTTTGCAGAAAATAATAAGATATATAATGGTGGAGTTATCTTTTCTGACTAAAGAGGAGCCTGTCATTAAGTCAAATTGGTCTCCTTTTAATATTATTCTTTAGGCATAATAATTATCTTGTGTTTAACATTTTCTATTTTTTGCTTAAAAATTAGGTGACACGTCATTAATCTTGACGGTATATATCTTTTTTATTTGAATGAATTTTTGAGTGAAATAGTAAAAAATAGATAATTTGTCATATTAAAAAAAAAGTGTATTCATCTATTTTACAATGAACTCATACTAATAAAATGGATATAATTTTTTTCCCTAAAAAACACTAAACATGAATAAATTAATCATTGTTGTGAATTTTATATATATCCTTGTGATAATCATGGATTGCAAATATCGTTACTTATTTTGACTGGTTCATTACTAGTTTGAAAGAACAAAAAGAAAGAAAATTTAATGATAGAATCCGTCAAAATTTAGCTACTTAATAATGTTTTTGATGAATTTTGTATTAAAAATCGTGAATAAAAACTCGGATGCAAACTCTGAATTAATGTAAAGATAAATTTTAAATATCAAATAGAGGAGGGTATTTTTTATTTTGGCCTAAAAAGGTGGTAATTTAAAGGATGGTGACACACACTATAGAATATAATAGCACTCCACGTTAGAAATGACTAGACTTCATTATCAAGGACCCTCCATAAAGTAATAGCACTCAAAAAATATATATTTAAAAAAATTGCAGTCACACACCTTAATTATCTCCATGTTTTAATCAATGGATATTAATTAAGATTAACATTTTAATTAAGTTGTTTTTTAATTTATTAAGTATGTTGTTAAAACTCTTTTTATTGTTCTTTGTCATTCTCCAAATTGGACAATATACATAGCGTTTAAAAGAGTTAGTTTGTTTTAATCAGTATAAAGGTCGAGAATATAAAATCGATACAATTACATATCGGAGGTATAAAATTTTATTTTCAATCAATTTTAACATGTGTTAATAGGTTAATTATATTTTCTTACAAAATTATTAAGTAATGTTTATTAAAAAAAATTGCTTGTAATTACCTGATCAAAGACTTGATTTATATGAATATATTTTATAGCATTAATTAGTATAATTTAAACTCTTTAAATAAATACAAGTGGTTAAGATTTCAAAGTATACCGTTTTTTTCCTTTACAATCTTATGGTTGTATAGCGAAGTTGGACGATAATAAGTGAATCTTTGTAGCAAGTTTAATATGATAATCTGAAAAATAAAATATCAACTTATCATAAATAATTTAATTAAACTTATTTATTATCAATAAATATAACTTAAATTCTAACTAAAACATCATATGATGACCTTGATCGCGTATTAATTATCTCCTTATATTCCGTAAGTAAATTTTAACATACTTGAAGGTTGAGAAACTACCTACCTTTTTAAATCAAACTTTTTACATAAACATTAATAAAATTCGAGAATTAATTAATCAACTCAGCCGTTCATTCAATTAGTCAAATTAAAAAATAACCAACAAATTATAATATATGTATTTAATATATTGATTATATACTCTATACATATAATGAATATATAATCCGTTCATTCAAGTAGTCAAATTAAAAAATAACCAATTTATGTATATAATATATTGATTATATACTCTATATATATAATGAATATATAATCTGTATATCAATTAGAAAATATAAACGATAAATCTGTTCGATTATTAGCATAAAAATCCCTTTCCTTTTTCCTTTCGAATAGTTTATCCACATGAGTCTTAGGAATACTGCTAAAGAACCTTTCTTTTTGACGAAGGAATTAATTTATAATCAACACGAAAGCCAGTTCCTAATACTTAAGTTAATTTTAGTACGTTTGTTTGTATATAATTAATTATCTTTTGCTTTTTTACTGCCTTTTTGCTTTTAAAAAAAACATTTTATGATTAATTTTGCAGTTTGCTCCAAGACAAATAATGTCTTAACTTTTTTTTTCCTTTTTTTTTTTTTTGCAACCGCCAATTTATAGAAAAGACAATAATCATTTTTTTGGTTACAAAAAGTTTAAAAGACAATATAATATTATACATAGGTCAAGATTTAATCCATGCGTTGTCGGTTCATTATTTGAAAATATATGATGAAAATGCGCGCTTATAATTTGACTTTAACTAAAAGCCATATATGTAATGAACTCAAAAAATTATTTTATTAGTGCTCAACTATTTTTTAAATTTAATTTGAAAATCATATATGAATTATTAATTTTTAAAAATAAGTATAGCATTCACAACTTCATAACGAGGCAGGGGTAGAATTATAATTTTGGTACGTGTTCGATAAAATTCAATAACTTTAATTTTGATTTTGTATTTATATTTTAAAATTGACCTAATATATCGAACAACTAACTTTGACTAAGATATGTATAAACAATTTATTTTAAATATTCATGGATACTATAGTTTTTAAAAATAGTTTAAATTGACATATTTCTCACGTAAAGGACTAAAATAGTAGAGGTGGGGTCAGAATTTTAAGTTAACGAATTCTGAATTCTGAATTCTAAAAAAAAAGATATTTTATTGGGTTTTGAATTATAATTTTTTATATAAATTGAGTGAATTTATTAATACAAATACAAAATTTAATCAAAGTCATTAAATTCTATGGAATCTTAAAATGCACATGTTATTAGTTAGAAGATTATTTTACCTTAAAATAATTGCCTAACTCACCTAAGCTATGAGAAGGTCACATGCATATATATATATATGACAGAATTTACTGCAATAAATGTCACATCCTAGCAATGAATAATTGAAAGTAAATCCTCATTTGGTTTTGAATAATTTATTCCCCTAATTTCAGTATATGCTCATTAATAGAATGTAATTATTGCATTTAAATTATGTCATTGTACCTACAATATGACTCTATGACTCTATATGAGAAACCTAAAACATTAATTAAATGCATATATCGAAACAAAGGTGGAAAAGGATTTAATTAAAACAAAAGTATTAGTGTCACACTTTTGGATCCATTATTTGACCCCATGACCTAACCATTTTTCTCGACTCCATCTTCAATGTTGTGGATAAAGATAGTAAATTATTCTTCGTCGATTAACAAAAACATTAAATCGAGTTTCATGTCATTATTATGCTATCTCTATACTCATCTAGTCATGTTATATTGTTTGTTTTTGGGCTAACAGGCCACACTATTTTTTTTCTTTCAAAAAGTCTAACTTTTTATAAGTATCACTATATAACTTATTACTTATTTACACTATATATACCTTTTATTTTGACTATCAATATAAAAATTTATTTGTACACCTAATTATATATATACATATGAAAGTTATTCATCACTTATAAAATCACGTTGAATGAAAGTATATATTATCCTTACTTTCATTAGGAATAGGTACGAGATCTAAATCGATATAGAGATACTACGTTAGACATCTTTATTAGTTACTTGGACATCATGTGCCTCACCAATAATGTGAAATTTGAGTAGTAGCTATTTATCTCTTGCTAAAAAGGTTAGGTGTTGATGCCAATTATGCTCGACAGTTGTAGTAGTAGTTATTAGTTAGTGTAACTAGTTCATCATCACATTCAGACTACTTCAAAAGCAATATTTGAAACTTTCCAATTCAATATTAGTTACCACGTGATAGAGAAGCGGATCCAGAATTTAAAGTTTATAAATTCTCAATAATTTTATAGTTAAAAAAAAAAACTTCTTTGTATATATATGCCTTAAGGGAAATTGAACTCCATGCATTTAAAAGGCTACCTAATTAAGCTCAAGCGGATTAACAACATTATTGTCACTCGATCAAGAGACTATTTTGTTACTGAGTTTTCATCAGATATTCTTTTATATATTTAATAGATTTCTCAACATGAATATAAAAGTCACCAAGTTCCTAAAAAATTGACCTTTACACAATACACTATATCCACTCCGAAATTCTGTCTCATATATAAGACTTTTATCGATAAAAGTGTTGCTATGAGATGAATAAAATTTCTTTTGTCTTGAATCAGAGGTCTTAGATTCGAGTTCGCTGAGAATGAAAAGAAATTCAATAGGGTGTGCTTCCTCCAATAATGAATTAAATGCGGAGCGAACTCATATTAATCATGACTCCAAAACGGATATTGATTGAATTCCAAAATCACAAGTAAAACACCCTACAATATAGTTCTTTTCCAAAGAGAAGATTGAAAGTGGTGGCAAATGTACTATACCTATTTTTATGATTTCAAACACCGGATAAAATAATTATAACAGGGGGTGGGGGGGGGGGGGGGGAGAGAGAGATTTTGAGAAAATAATACAGTTCTTTAATTATGACTTCTCATGATTGTACACTGTCATTAGGTTAATTAATGTAACACTTG